CCGAACCTCCATCGGAGATTCTTAGCACCCCCTGCTCCGCTGTTACCATGGTCGCCACCGTAGCCAGGAATAGCGGGGCCGCCGGGGACTGGGGGCCGTTTCTTTCTTACTCTCGTCATAGGGGGGTATTTGCCATAGTTTCCACGCTTGGCGAGCGGGTTGGCAACCGCTTTTTTTATTGTATGTTTGTTGTTATCAGGAAGATGCCGCTGCCCATCTCCTGCCTGTTTCCCTTTGTCGCCTTTTACGACACCCACGGGAAGATATGGGGTAGTGGATATTCTTAACCGCCACTACACGGCACGGCGGTAAAATTGAAGTGTCGGTTTGTAATATCAAAATAACAGCCTTTTACGAACGAAATTCGGTCTGAAGGACATTATTACTGGAAAGTGCAGTGTTGAAGGACTCCTGCTAGTGAATAACGACCTGATGAAACCATAGGCAATGTTTTGTGTCTTGAATGAAATTTAGTGCATTTATTAGTTTTTAGTGCAGTTATTTAAGATAAAGGTGTTTCTACAAAAACATATTTTTAACTTGGCAAATGGTTTAAAAAAAATCCAATACAGAAATTCGATGATTTCAATAGCGTAAGCCAAAAAGAATAAATAAAAAAGTCGAGTCGAGTTCTATATTTAAATTCAAATTAACACGAAAACCGTCTTATAACCAAACATTATCTCCCGCTGTTCGCGCCAAACGCTGTTTCGGGATCGACGTCAGAGGGCACGCGGCTCGGTGCCATACCGGTTTGACATTCGGTCGTGCGTAGAACGCGCAAGCGCAGCAGTCGTCTGCCAGCTGTGCTAACGCCAGCACGCTGTCAATTTTTGTGCGGGAACCGCGGAATAGTTTAGGCGTCTAGTAAATAATATGCTGTCTAGGATTTATAACGGGCATTCCTTGTTGGATAGCCTTTCCCGGGACTTATTAGCTAGTGCGGCCTTTGATATTCTAGAAATAACTGTTGCTATGCGAAGCGGTAGTGACCTTTGATCCGGATACTTCCTGTTCGTTTGTGTGTTAAACTTTATAACAACCGAGTGTTGGTGGCTTCTGTAAGTTAGTTAATAGTACTATAGAGTTAATGGACTGTCATCGTGACGAACAAAGAAAGTGACTGTGGACGGCGCCGCGGAAGATTACCTCAATTTGGAGCGGTGCTGTCGCCCTGGCTGCTGCCGACGGCCAAGGTCTGCTAAGGTCAATCACCATCAGTCACACCCAGATTCACATCATATCACCTTATTTCCCTTGCACTACACAACCAGGTCCACTTCGCCTCCAGGTCCTTCAAAAGAGTTATTGCCAAGGCAAAGTCAGAGCACATAGGCAGAATTGGCGAGAAACTAGTTCGCCTTCCTTCGGGAACCCGTGCATTCTGGTCTCTCGCCAAGGCTGTCCAAGGGAATTTCTGTAAGCCATCACTACCATCTCTGCACAGGGAGGACGACTCACTGGCCCAAGACGCAAAAGACAAAGCCGACCTTTTAGGCTCCCTTTTTGCGTCCAACTCGACTCTTGATGACGGGGGGAAAATACCGCCGACCATCCCGCGGTGTGAGTGCTCCATGCCGGATGTGCTATTCTCACAGCGCTCAGTTCGCAAAGCACTTCTTTCCCTGGACATCCAGAAGTCGAGTGGGCCTGACGGAATCCCCCCAATTGTGCTGAGGACGTGTGCTCCGGAGTTGGCACCGGTCCTAACGCGTCTTTTCCGGTACTCCTACTCCCAAGGCGTAGTCCCGAATTCATGGAAGACAGCTTTTGTCCACCCGATCCCTAAAAAAGGCGACCGCTCAGACCCGTCCAACTATAGGCCTATCGCGATCACCTCCTTGTTCTCCAAAATAATGGAATCCATTATTAACTGCCAGCTCATCCGGTACCTTGAGGATCACCAGCTGATTAGTGACCGCCAATACGGTTTTCGTCGGGGTCGATCAGCTGGTGATCTTCTGGTCTACCTGACCCATAGATGGGCGAAGGCAGTAGATTCCAAGGGGGAGGCGTTGGCCGTTAGTCTGGACATTGCGAAGGCCTTTGATCGGGTTTGGCACAAAGCGCTTCTTTTGAAGCTGCCTTCCTATGGGCTTCCCGAGAAATTGTGCAATTGGATCACCAGCTTTCTTGCAGATCGGAGCATCAAGGTCGTTGTAGACGGTGCATGTTCTGACTACAAGCCTATTAACGCTGGTGTTCCACAAGGCTGTGTGCTATCACCAACGCTGTTTCTTCTGCATATCAATGATCAATGATATATATAAACGTGGTAGAGCCATGCTGCAGCTATATTATGGTTGTAGCACGAATGGGTCGGCTCGACCGGGGAAGGACCACGCTCTCACAGAATACCAACGTAAAATAGCAGCTTAACGCTGCTGTGTTTCGTATGGTGAGTGTAGAGAACCGGACACCCTTTTTACTGGAAACGAGGCATTCCATCTTAGTCCTGACGGGTGACAACGCATCTGCATTTTGATTCTTAATCGAAGATAGGTGTAGTTGTCTATGGGCCACAGCAACCACTTACCATCAGGTGGACTGTGTGCTCGTTTGTCACCCTTATCCTATAAAAAAAAAAAAAAAAAAAAATATGTTGCTAACTGGTAACATTCATTGCTATGCGGATGACAGCACTGGTGATGCTCTATACACCGGCCGGGCCAATATTTCTCGGGAAAACGTCGCCGAGTACCGGAACAAACTTGTGTCTGAAGTCGAGTCTTTGCTGGACAAAGTCTCGGATTGGGGGCGACTAAATCTAGTCCAGTTTAATCCTCAGAAGACACAAGTTTGCGCGTTTACCGCTAAAAAGAACCCCTTTGTCGTATCTCCTCAGTTTCAAGGCACTCCCCTTCTTGCCTCAGCCAGTATCGGTATCCTCGGAGTCGACATATCGAGTGACGTGCAGTTTCGTGGTCACTTGGAAGAGAAGGCCAAATTGGCCTCTAAAAAGCTTGGCGTGCTCAGCAGAGCGGGACAGTATTTCATGCCGGCACACCGCCTGCAACTTTACAAGGCGCAGGTTCGGCCTCACATGGAATACTGTTCCCATCTCTGGGCAGGGGCTCCCCAGTGCCAGCTCCTTCCACTTGACCGCATCCAGCGCAGAGCGGCTCGAATCGTCGACGACCGAGCCCTTTCCGATCGGCTCGATTCATTGGCACTGCGAAGAGATGTTGCATCTCTTTGCATTTTCTTTCGCATCTACCATGGGGAGTGCTCTGAGGAATTGTTCGGATTAATCCCAGCCGCCAAATTTCACGAACGCACATCGCGGCAGAACTCCCGATACCATCCACACCATCTGGATGATTGGCGGTCCACCACTGTGCGATTTAGAAGATGTTTTCTTCCTCGCACAACTTTCTTGTGGAATAGTTTACCACCAGGGATTTTTCCGGACCGATACGACTTAGGGACCTTCAAGAAAAGAGCCTACTCCTTTTTAAAAGGCCGGCAACGCATCTGCAATTCCCCTGGTGTTGCGGTTGTTCATGGGCGGCGGTAGTCACTTACCATCAGGTGAGCCGCATGCTCGTTTGCCCCCTCTCCTATAAAAAAAAAAAAAAAAAAAAAAAAAACCACATGCGACCTGACCGACTCCGGAGGGACCAGTCGCCTTGGATATAGGTAAGTAAGCTCCGTCTAATATTCTCCCTGTTGAATGGCCGTAGCACAGAACGCTCTCCCTTATTGTTTAGTGTAACTAGAGATTTTCCACTTTGGCCTTAGGAGGCCCGACCTATGTCTGCTCGTCGAAACTCAGCTGAATGGGCCCCTGAGGATTTTAACTTGATGGGAGCAGCCGTAGGCCGTAACAAACTGGTAGCAGAGCGCGGTTCCGGGTTCGATTCCCCGGTCGATCCCGACCAAAGTGTTTGATAAAAATTAAACAATTCTGGTGGCAGGGAGCGTTGGTTTGATTGGTTGAATTTTGTATCTACAATCACGCCCGTCCGTAATACGTAAAAATATTTTTTTTGTACGTAATAATAAAATTATTTTCCTTTGTTGCTGTGATATATGTAGGTATAAATCAATATTGTATTATGTAGGTAGGCGCCACCGCGCGTCTTCTCGAGTGAGTCGCTCAATACATGTTATGAAGTCACACAGTGTTTATTATTTAAATACCGAGTTATCCAGAAATCTCTCAGTGGCGACGAGGATAGCAACGAACTCTTGGAAAAGTATTTGTAAACGACAAGTATTTAATTAAAATGTCGATTGGAAGAATTCCTGAGTTTGACCTACATAAGGACGATTGGAGGTCATACGTCGACCGCCTCGAACAATATTTTGTTGTCAACAAAATTTCGGAGGATTTACAAGTTCCGACGTTAATTACCGTGATGGGAGCCGAGTGTTACGAACTGTTAGTGAATTTATGTACTCCAACCAAACCAAAAGATAAATCTTTTTTGGAAATCACAAACATTCTAGAAAAACATCTCCAACCAAAACCAAGTACCCTCGCAGAAAGATATAAATTCCGGCATAGGAAACAAAAAAGTTGTGAAACAATAGCGGAGTATGCAGCAATATTGAAGAGAATGTCGAAATCTTGTGAATTTGGTCAATGGTTGGAAGAAAGTTTAAGAGATCAGCTGGTGTGCGGTATTCTAAGTGAAACTATAAGGCAACGACTATTCGCAGAAGGCACGTTGGAATATGGGAAAGCGTATAGCTTGGCAGTGAACATGGAGGCGGCGGAGAAGGATGCAGCGGCTGTGGAAGGATACGGGCAAGGTGAATCGTCGGGCAGCTCGAGCACGGCTGAGTGCCAGGCGATGGCAGCGACTCGAAGTGGCAACGGACGCGGTCGGCCAGGGAGGACGGCACCTACGGCATCGAGGTGGCAGCGGCAGCAAGGAAAAGCAGCGGACGGAGCACAACAATGTGCTGCGTGCGGTGGACCCCATGGCGGCACGAAGTGTCGGTTCGCGGCATATGTGTGCAGAGTATGTAATCGTAAGGGGCATTTACGTCGGATGTGCCCAAACCTGACGACGTACCATCACGTAGACATCGGAACACCTAAAGTGGTCGAATCGGACGAGACGGACAGTGACGAGGTAAGAATATTTGATATAAAAAAATTATCCATAGAAGAGTGTACACCGCTATGTATTTCAATCAACGTTCACGGAAAAGATATTGACATGGAGTGTGACACGGGTAGCGCCGTATCTTGTATAAGTTACAAATTTTATAAACATAATTTTAGTGATTTACCTATCAGCAAATGTAATGTTTTACTTAGATATTACACAGGTGAAATAGTTCGTCCGGTGGGGGTGGCTACGCCACTAGTGAGGTAAAAAAATACACAAAAAAAATTAAATTTGTTCATAATCAGAGATGGTAAAACCGTTCTTTTGGGTCGACAGTGGTTAGCCGAACTTAAAATTCAACTACCAGTGTTTCAGTATCACGATGTAAACAATGTTAATTATAAGGATTTTGACGAAAGTAATTTTATGTATAGATTCAGTGAAGTATTTGCGGATGGGCTTGGACGGTTCAGCGGCGGGCGGGTTAGCATCCACCTGCGGCAGGGGGCGCGGCCGGTGTTCATGCGCGCGCGTCCTCTGGCGTATGCGCTGCGGGAACCGGTGGAGCGAGCGCTCGAGCAGCTGGTGCGAGACGGCGTCCTCACGCCGGTGGAGCGCTCCGACTGGGCCACACCCATTGTACCCGTTCTCAAAAAGGATGGTAATATTAGAATATGCGCTGATTATAAATGAACACTGAATAAAGTGCTAGAAGTCGACCGTTATCCCTTGCCACGCATAGATGATTTGTTATCGCGTTTACATGGCGGTGAACGTTTCAGTAAGATTGATTTATCTCAGGCGTACGCTCAGTTTGAGCTTGACGAATCAAAAAAGTATACGGTTATCAATACACATAAGGGTTTATACATGTACAATCGACTAGTTTACGGCTTGTCGTCGAGTCCAGGAATTTTTCAAAAACACTTAGAAGAATTATTGACAGGGTTACCGAACGTGGGTGTGTTTTTAGATGACGTAATTATAACGGGTCCTGATAGTCGTAGTCACATAAAAAATTTATATAAAGTGTTCGAGCGATTGCAGTCTCACGGGTTGCGCGTTAAGAAAGAAAAATGTGTATTTTTCGCAGAATCTATTAACTACTTAGGGCACGTCATTAGTAAAGAGGGTGTTCACACGTGTCCGGAAAAAGTCCGGGCAATTGTAAACACGCCTGCACCCACCAATATTTCAGAACTGCGATCTTTCATCGGGCTAGTAATGTATTATGGTAAATTCGTACGAAATGTTAGTTCATTGCTGGCCCCGTTATATCGTTTGCTAAAAACCGGGGTTCGATTCCTGTGGAGTACTGAGTGTCAATTGGCATTCAATGAAGTAAAAAAAATATTAAGTTCGAGCGAAGTGCTTGCTCATTATACGTTAGACTTACCCGTGGTACTGACGGCGGACGCCAGCGGGGTCGGAGTCGGCGCCGTGATATCGCATATCACTGAGGAGGGAGAGCGGCCGATCGCATATGCGTCGCGTACGCTCAGCGCGGCCGAGCGGGCCTATGCGCAGATAGATCGAGAGGCCTTAGCAATAATATTCGGTATTAAAAAGTTTCATCAGTACTTATATGGTAGAAAATTCGTTTTAAGGACTGATCACAAACCCTTGACGTATATTTTCGGCAGTAAAGTGGGCATTCCAGTTATGGCCGCTTCGAGATTACAGCGTTGGGCAGTATTATTGTCGGGATACAATTATGACATAGAATATGTAAGTTCACACAAAAATTGTGCAGATGCGTTATCTCGTTTGCCGCAACCGGTACATAAACGGCTTCCGAAGTCGGAGGGAATGAATTACATTAATTTCGTAGAAAATTTTCTCCCGGTCACAAATGATGACGTCAGAACGGCAACAGCAAGCGATCCGGAATTTAGTAGAATTTTAACCTATGTTCAGTCCGGATGGCCCGCGTCCTGCCCAAAAGAAGTGTTGCAGCAATATTATATTAAACGTAATGAACTATACATAGATAGGGGCTGTATTATGTGGGGTTACCGCTTGGTGATACCGCGCACTTTAAGAAAAAAAATACTTATGCAATTACATACTGGTCACATGGGCATTGTTAAAACTAAGTCCATAGCTCGAAGTTACGTATGGTGGCCTAATATAGATACAGACGTCGAATCCGAATGCCGAGCATGTGAGACGTGCGCGGTGGAGTCACAAGCACCCCCGCGCACCCCACCGCAGCCTTGGCCGTACCATTTGCAGCCATGGAGCAGACTCCATATAGATTTTTTAGGCCCTTTTAACGGAAAAAAATTTCTTATTTTAATAGACTCCAGTACGAAATGGCTAGAAGTGTTTGAAATGCCAAAAACAAATGCTACAGCGGTTATTAAGGTATTACGGTGTACGTTCGCAAGATTCGGCTTACCACTAGAGCTAGTATCGGATCAAGGGCCACCCTTCACTAGCGCGGAATTTAAGGAGTTTTTAACACGAAATGGTATTCAGCAACGTTTCTCGCCTGCTTATCACCCGTCTTCGAATGGCGCCGCGGAAAATGCTGTAAATATTTGTAAAAAAGCAATAAAAAAAGCACATAGGGAATCAATCGATGTTGACGCCGCGTTGCAAACATTTTTACTTACTTATCGTAACAGTATACACAGCAGCACAGGTGAAAGCCCTTCAATGCTGTTACAAAAACGAACGTTACGATCACGGCTAGACTTATTACGAAGCGATCGCGCGCTCATAAATAAGGTAAATCAGGCTCAAAGTAAGCAAGTGGAGTACACGGGCGGGGTGCAGCGCTCGTTTGCACCGGGGGAACCTGTGTGGGTGCGAGAGTACGGCCACAAGGATAGGTGGGTGAAGGGAACGATAGTTCATGGCGAAGGTTCGAGGAGATATTCTGTGGACAAGGGGGACAGTCGACAAGTAGTTAAGCACGTGGATCAAATCAAGCGCAGATCAGGGTTGTACGACATACCATTCCCTGAGGAGCAAAGCGAGTCAATGAGGGTACAAATACCTGATAGTAGTGGCTCGGCGAGAGACGGAATGTCGAAGGAGGACGACGGCCCGGACACATCTCCGACTACGGTTGTGGGTGATTCGGGAAAGGAGAGGAAACGGGTTTCGAGTGAACGCATTAAAAGTCCTGGAATCGATTATAGCACACCGCCAACGTCACCTAGTGCACCGTCGCCTGAACCGCCTCGAGCCCGATCCGGGCGAGTTCGTAAACCTGTTGTTAGGTTTCAAGTTTAGCTTAGTTTATTAGTTTATTAGATTTAGTAACTAAGTTTAGTTTAGTTTATTACATTTATAGATAATGTATTATATAGTTAAGGTATTATTATAAGTAAAGTTAGGTTTAAGTTAGGTTTCAAGTTTAGCTTAGTTTATTAGTTTATTAGATGTAGTAACTAAGTTTAGTTTAGTTTATTAGATTTATAGATAATGTATTATATAGTTAAGGTATTATTATAAGTAAATTTGTGATTACATAATTTATGTACCTTACTTAATAATATCTGATAATACCATATATTAAGAAGGGAGGTGTGATATATGTAGGTATAAATCAATATTGTATTATGTAGGTAGGCGCCACCGCGCGTCTTCTCGAGTGAGTCGCTCAATACATGTTATGAAGTCACACAGTGTTTATTATTTAAATACCGAGTTATCCAGAAATCTCTCAGTTGCTTGCTTATTTGGTTAGCGGGTAGATTTGAAAGCCGCGCCCTTTTGGTGCTTTTTCTTTTCTTTCAATTTATTTATTCATACAAAGTTAAGTACATTATTTTTACTATTCTCTCGCCAAACTGCAATCAGTTTGTCGGCGAGTACACGCTTTTAAAACTATATATTATTATGCACTATCACTTATACAAATACAATTAATTATAATAAACAAAAGAAAATAAAAGATAGTTATATCAAAGTTACCTACTACAATTTCATAATATTTAGAAATTATAAAACTAAAAATAATAATAATAATAATAATGATAATAAGAATAACTTTATAGATACCCCAAAATAATAATGAAAAAAAATACAACACAGAAATGCGGGTGGGTGTAAATAAGTGCAGACGTGTTTCGTTTCGTAAAACGTATTTATTTTAAAAAAAGAAGTAATTTACCATACTTTTATTATTTTTCTATATAATACAGTATTAAGCATCAACGTGTAAAGGTTTACCTTCTTATGCACTAGTTTTTTAGCACTGCACAAACTGCTGGAACCAAGATTTTTTTTTACACACGAACAGTTGTTACTACATACGTCACTATGTCCACAATTGCCGATATTTCCAGAAGTCAAGAGTCTTTGGAAGCGCTCATCACCCGTAAAATGGCAGATTTTGAATCAAAACTCAACTCCAGCGCTTCCAAGAGTAGCAATGTAGACAGGATCAGCGAGGACTATACCGCTTTTCAGAGTTACGTCAAGGATATGTTTAACCTTCTTCGCCAGCAAATTGCAGAAGTCAGTCGCTCGCTTGACATTATAGAAACAAGGCATCGCAGGAAATTCCTTTTAATGGGCGGTGTCCCTGAAAAACCAGGCGAAGATTTATCCGAAGTCGTGATCAAAATTTTTCACGAAAATCTAGGTCTTAAAGATATAGCACCATCTTGTCTTCGAGCAGCATACAGACTTGGCCCGGTCAAATTACACCATACTCGTCCTATATTAATGCGCTTCACAGATATGTCACTGCGCTCAACTGTTTGGTTTAAAAAAACAATGTTAAAAGGCACCTCGTTTAAATTATCGGAATTCCTTACAAAATACAGGCAAGACTTATTTCTTCAAGCCCGTAAGCATTTTGGAATTAAAAAAGTCTGGTCATTTGAGGGCAACATAAGCGTTAGACTGCCTGATGGGTCTCGACGTCACATCTTTAGCGCTAATGACCTGGATGCACTACTGCGCGATCTTCATAAAGCTGGGTGCAACGAGGAGCCGGAACAAGTGAAGGCAGGAACTAGTAGTGTAGTTTCCCGCAGCGAGCAGCCAAGGACCCGACGAGCATTCAAAAATAAGTAAACATTCTCGGGATAGTGGTAATACTTTGTTTACACTTCGACGGCTTATTAATTACTACTACTGCTGTGTGTACTGTGTACGTCACTGAGCGCTTTTGTATTCGATCCTTTTGTTCTCCGCAACCGGTTATTGGGCTGATTTGCGACACAAGTAATAGTACAGACTAATCTGAACCTTAAATTTCGTGAAATTACGCATTAGAGTATTTTTTTTCTCGTTTAAATTACCACTTCTCGTAGTGATTAACATATGTTTTTTTTCCTTCTTTTTCAATACGTACGATTTTTGTTGTCTATGCAATTGTAAATAATTAAAATTAGATACTTTCTTGTAGTAAGTATTACTTGTTGTTTTCGTGTAATATTTTAATTTTTCTTTTTGTAAACAGTTTACCGGCGCGTTTGTTTGCAGTGCAATTATCAGTTAATAGGGTTTTTTTTTTCTATATTTTTAGACATATATCATAAGTATAATCATATATTATGACAGATTCTGATACCAATGAACTATTTCTCTCTGCTGATTCAGATTCTTCTTTCTTTTCACTAAATGACTCTTTTTCGGAACCTACTACTCTTCGTTATCTGCTTACTCAAAAGTTTCATGGTTTGACTAATAACTTTAACGTTTGTTACATTAACGCTCAGAGCATTCCGCAACATTATAATGAACTTGTTGATACTTTTCATAATCAGTCTATTTCTGCGATACTTGTTTCGGAAAGCTGGTTAAAACCTACCTTACCGTCCACCTCCTTTGGAATACCTGGTTTTGTCCTCTTAAGAAATGACCGTACGGGCAAAAGAGGTGGTGGTGTAGCGGTATACTTACGTAATGGTATACCCTATAAAAAATTATGTGCTTCTTCATCTGTTTATTCTGGTACAATAGAATACATGTTCTTGGAGATTACCATCAGTGCGACTAAGACTGTTCTCGGTGCAATTTACTGTCCACCAGGAGTTAATTATTTTTGTGACCTTGAATCGGCTCTTTTTTCTATTGGCTCTGATTATCAGCACTTTATTATAATGGGAGACTTCAATACCGATATTCTCTGTAACTCAGCGAGGTCACGTGAATTGTATACAGTTATGAACTCCTTTAATTTGTCACTTCTTCCTCTCGACCCCACACACCACAATCTTGATACTGCTGATTCTTTAATAGATTTAATAGTGGTCGCTTCTGAAGACCATGTCGTTGGTCACGGTCAACTCTCCGCCCCTGGGTTTTCGCAGCACGATTTACTGTATATTTCTTATAGGATTAAATGTCCTAAGGTCAATCATGTGACGGTGCATCTGCGTAATCTAGCGAGACTTAATGTTGAAGAACTTCAGCAAGGTGCTTGTAGTATAGATTGGAGTGATACTTTCAGTGTGGAGAGTGTTGACGAAAAAGTAGCTCTTTTTAATTCAAATATACAGAAGTTGTTTGATAAACACGCTCCTCCACACAAAGTCAGACTGAAACGATCTCCTGCGCCGTGGATTACTGAGGATATCCGCAGGGCTATGGCAAAGCGTGATCGAGAATTTAGTAAATATAAGAGTAATCGGTGTACTGCTAACTGGACTCGATTCAAAGCCGCTAGGAATCGGTGTAATCAGATGGTGCGGGCCGCTAAACGCCGTTATATTCATCGAAATATCCTTAACGCTTCTATGGCTGATTCGTGGAAATTTTTAAAATCAATTGGGATAGGTAAACCTGCTTCTAACTTTGATCCTTCAATCTTCTCTGTTAATCAACTTAATACATACTTTTCTACTGCACCACAGCTGCATTCGTCAATTAAATCTACTACTATTGCCCATGTTAATTCTCTTCCAAAATTTTACAAAAGCTCTTTCAATTTTTCTCCCGTTACTGATGAGGATATAAAAAAGTCAATTTCTTCCATCAAGTCCGCCGCAGTAGGCTCTGATGATGTGAGCAGAATCATGATCAATCTCATCCTCGATTATGTCTTACCAGTACTTACCCACATAGTAAATTTTTCATTAAATACTGGGGTTTTTCCTTCACTATGGCGAAATGCTTTTGTTCTCCCACTTCCAAAAATAAATAATCCTAGTTCTGTTTCTCACTTCCGTCCTATCTCTATTCTTCCTTTTTTATCAAAAGTACTTGAAGCTGTTGTTCACAGACAAATTTCTGACTACGTTTTTAAAAATAACTTTTTAAGTAGCTATCAATCAGGTTTCAGGCCAGGACATAGTACAACAACAGCCCTGCTTAAAGTTACGGAAGATTTACGTATAGGTATGGAGGAGTCAAAATTAACTGTGTTAGTCTTAATAGATTTCTCAAACGCTTTTAATGCTGTTGATCATGACATCCTTCTTACAATACTTTCTCACATTGGTTTCTCCTCATCAGCGCGGGAATGGTTCGCATCCTATCTTCAGGGACGTCAGCAGGCTGTTCGCGTGGGTCCAGTTATTTCTGACTGGTGCACGCTGGTTGCTGGCGTTCCTCAAGGCGGAATTCTCTCACCTCTTTTGTTTTCAATTTTTATAAATCTAATTACATCTCACATTCGCTGCACGTACCATCTCTATGCCGATGACTTACAAATATATGCTCAGTCTGATGTTAACGATATCGAAGATGCGATCACTGAGCTAAACTCTGACCTCACTCGTATCTCTGATTGGTCTAGCAAATTCGGTATTACTGTTAACCCTACCAAGTGCCAGGCAATTATAGTTGGAAGTAGCCGTCGCTTATCTGCATTGGATTTTAATTCACTGCCACCTGTAAATTTTAATAATGCTGTCATACCTTATTCAGCTACTGTGAAAAATCTAGGACTTATCATTGACAGCAGTCTAAGTTGGCGGCCGCAAGTCACGGAAGTAAGCAAAAAAGTTATCAACACCTTGCGTTGTCTGTATCGACTCAAGAATTTTCTTCCAGTGAGAACAAAGGTAATGTTGGTTCAAACGCTCGTATTACCAATACTAGATTATGCAGATGTATGCTATGCTGATGCCTCTCAAGAACTTCTTAACAAACTGGATCGTCTTCTCAATAATTGTATTCGCTTTATCTTTGGCTTACGTAAATTCGATCACGTTTCTTCATTCCGTTCTCAGCTCAAATGGCTGCCTCTTCCACTTCGTAGATCTTTTAGAATCCTTTCTATGCTATTCTCTATTTTACACGATCCGTCTGTCCCTGCATATCTGAAATGCAAA